GGGCCAGTTCACTATTAGATATATAGATGCATGGGATAGAGCAGGTAGAGAAAGAGGTACTTTTCTCCCTTTCTCACAATACAAGAACTCATGGGCACTCCATGAAATTGCTGAGCGGCCAGGTTAGAATGGATAAAAGGAAGTACATCTTCACACAAAGAGTGATTAACACATGGAATTCACTGCCACAGGAAGTGGTGGCGGCTACAAGCATGGACGGCTTCAAAAGGGAATTAGATAAGTATATGGAGCAGAGGTCCATCAGTGGCTATTAGCCACAAGGTATAGATAGGGACTCTGGGGCAAGTGATGCTCTGTCTTCTTAGTGCTTGGGGGGGGTTAACAGTGGGAGGGCTTCTAATGTCCTAGCCCCACTGGTGGACCTCCTGATGGCACCTGGTATTTTTGGCCCCTGTGTGACAGAGTGTTGGACTGGATGGGCCTTTGGCCTGATCCAACATTGGTCTTCTCTTATGTTCTTAACACTTCTTAAAGTTTAATACGTAATCTATATATCTAATAGCGAAGGTGCCCCCTGCGTGCGGATATCTATATCCGCACGTGGGGGGCAGGGAGATTTTCTTGTACACTTGGGGCAGTCCCCCCAGGTGTGCACAAAAATCCAAGAAGTCATTAAGATTCATAATCAGAATAATGAACAGGCTTGGAAGGAAATTTTGAAATGGGAAGCACTTTATGCTAGGTGAGTATATTTGCCATCTTAAGCAACAAATAATTTTGGTAAGAGCTAAGCATTTATCTTCAGAATTTGTGATGGAATCTGCCCATCATGGAAGGATATGTAGCTGGATTTTACTGTTCCTTTACCATTCTGGTTTTGCCTAGATTGCTGATCTGTGTGTTTCTGAAATTGCTTTTCAGGGAGTGCCCGTGTGGACCAACACTTGTTCGGTTTGGAGGTAAAGCTAAGGAATATTCACCAAGAGCCAGAATATGATCCTGGATGGGGTATGTTTTGAAGAAAAGCTGGCTTTGTTTATGATAGAAAGTCTTTAAAGTCCCCTTCAAGAGAACGGGAATAGAATGAAGTAGTTGGGCACTGAACACTTGTTAAAGTTTAATACGTAATATGTCTATAATTTTGGTGGTTATCTTGATACTGTGTAATAAATACTGTCTTCCTTCCAGGTATGAATTACCTTTTGATAGGCATGATTGGATTATTGAACGCTGTGGAAAAGAAGTCAGATACGTTATTGATTATTATGATGGAGGAGAAGTAGATAAGAACTATCAGTTTACTATTTTGGACGTTCGCCCTGCTTTTGATTCCCTGACTGCTGTGTGGGACAGGATGAAGGTGGCTTGGTGGCGCTGGACTTCATAACTAAGCTTCCACAGTATGGAAAACAATATTAGAACTGTATTATTTGAAGTGGTATTGAGACTTTGGACTTGAATAAAAATCCATGGTGACTGCTGTTCTATATAATAGCATTGTACTAGCCACTGGGGGACAAACTGCATTGCTTTAATCGAGGCTTTATTTAAGTAATATGGTGTGTGTGTGTTCTTCCCCCTCCTGCAATGAAGAAGAAGAAGAGATTGGATTTATACCCTGCCCTTCACTACCCAAAGGAGTCTCAGAGTGGCTTACAATCTCCTTTCCCTTCCCCTCCCCACAACAGACACCCTGTGAGGTAGGTGAGGCTGAGAGAGCTCTGACAGAAACTGCTCTTTTTCAAGAACAGCTCATATCAGAACTAAGGCTTGCCCAAGGTCATCCAGCCACAGGTGCAAGTGGAGGAGTCGGGGAATCAAACCCGGTTCTCCCAGATTAGAGTCCGCGCACTTAACCACGACACCAAACTGGCTCTTTCCATCACATTTGATCTCAAGTGGAAGACATTATGGAACTATTATGCATCAAGGATTAGAGGCAGCACTAAAATATAGATTTTAAGCAGCACTGCTGTGGAATGGGGAATAGTTGTAATCAGGCAGTAGAGCAGGTATGCCTTTCAGTATAGTTTCTGGTTGTGGGGGGAATACTTACTTGAAAGATAAGAGGGTGGAACTCCATATTTTGAAATGATGTTTTGTTTGGTCAGAAATGGAAAGTGTCATCTTTGCCATTCAAAATGTACATTATTAAATGTTTTGTGAGTGGCATATGAAGTCACATGCTGGACCTACATATCCATAAAGTAACCATGGTTTATGAAAAGATGCATTATTTTAAAAAACAATCAGAAAAACAACTACTTGACAGTTTTCACATCCTGCCTGTGTGGAAGTTGAGGTGGAGATGGGTTAAAAAAATCTGTGCTAATGTCTGTTTTGAAATACTTTGCTCTTTAAATTACATGTTCAAATGTACAGTACTGCAAAGAATGTTATGTGTGATAAATGACTCAGAGAATCAAGTTTTTCACTTTACATATATTTCACTGGGTAGCATATAGTTTAGAACTTTTGGCACTCTAATAGATAACTGAGCAAGGGAGGATAGATGTTGAGTCCCCTTGGAAACATACACTTAAAGGTGTCGCAGCTGAAATGTTTTCTCTGCAAGTTCTTCAAAAAAAGCCAGTAAAGCGTTGGACTATGCAGTCAGGTTAAAACTGTAGTATTCCCATACATGAAGAGAGGTGTCTAAAAGATACTAATACCAAAGGTACTGATGTAATACAAGAAGTTGTTTTGCATTGGATTTTCCTACGAGCTGCCTTTGAAGCAGTCTTCAAATAGCTGAAGGGCTGTCATGTAGAAGATGGAGCGGATCTATTCCCTCTTGCTCCGGATTGCAAGACTAGATCTAATGGGTGGAAATTACAAGGGAGTCGTTACCGGCTAAATATCAGGAGAAACTTCCTAACTGTCAGAGTGGTTGAGCAGTGGAACAGTCTGCCTCGGGAGGGGGTGGATGCTCCTTCGCTGGACGTTTTCAAGCGGAGGCTGGACGACCATCTTTCGGGTATGTTGTAGGTATGTAGGGGCTATCTTTCAGTTATGCTCCTGCAGAGTGCAGGGGGCTGGACTAGATGACCTGCAAGGTCCCTTCCAACCTTAACATTCTATGATTCTATGATTTGAAGAATTTTGTGGTACTAAAATCATTTTTGTGTGAGTTTTGAAGGACGTTTGTATAACAGAGCTTTCATTTTCTGGTGGAGGCACGTTTTGCCATGTTAAATCCAAATGGATGTACAAACTAGCCTGGGATCGGTAAAAAGGGCTTCCAGGCCAATGCTCTACTGCCTTGGAGCTATGCCTAGGTCCCATCCCAGCCCTTTTCAGCTGGGTATTCTTGGTCAGCAAACTTGGGTTCTCTTACGCTCCTTTCTGCATCCTGTACAATGCTATAATGGCCGTACCCTTCTTTCATTCTTTCTTGCCATTACCACCACCCTCCTATCTGGTTTGCAAATGAAGCAGAGAACATGTAAAAGTGGTGGACAAAGGTGAGTGTTACGTTGCCAGAGGCACTGCCTTTTACTCTTGAGTAGCCCCAATAGCAAGGGCACCCCACTTCGAACATGGCCCAGAGACCCACAAAACTCAGGCCAAGGAAGGCACTCTTGGTTCTGAAACACAGAGCTAGCCACAGCTCTGAAAAAAGAGGGTCTCCATTTTCAAGCGACAGGCAACCTCAGAGCAAGCCTCCAGTCTTCCCCCTTCCCCCCAGCAGAGATTACGCTTATGGAATAACAATTGAGTTC